CCCCCCCCCCCCCCCCCCCAGCTCACGGCCAGATGGGCCACGTGTAAGGGAGGGATGCGGCTGAGGGTGTTAAGGACAACGTGAGGGAGTAACTTCCAGGCGTTGCTTCTGTTACAATAAAAACATTTACTAGATGCATGTCATTCCTTTAGGACCGTCCAAGGCACCGAGCTTCTGGTATAAGGTGGAGCCGTCCCCTGCTCACGGCTACAGGTCCGTGCGGCTCCTGTGGAAGGTGAGCAGCCCGTCTGTTCTCCAGCTCCTGTGGAAGTGCGTTGTAGGTGACGCGACGCGCGGGGCTTTAACGCACATGTTCGTTCATCTGACCGTCAGCAGCGCATTGAATCAGCTCAGCACGCGGAAGCCCACGATTGGCATTTGCTGCCCAAGGGCAAGCACAAGCCGTGGCAGTGGCGGGGGGGGGGGCGGGGGAGGGCTGTGCGGACAGGGACCGAGTCTCGTTGGCTCTCCCGGTGCCCAGGAATCATGAGGAAAGGTCTGCGTGACCAGAGTGCACGCAGGAGCGGAGATAAATGGTTGTGTGCTCCATACACATGCGTGCAAGGCTCATACCAGAAAAGGCAGAAACACACTGGGACGTGTGTTAAACTGGCCCCACAGCCGCCCTCCCACCTCCTCGGCCCATGGGCAGTGCTCCTGCCCCTGCGGTGAGCACGGCGTGGAGGCCGGGCCCATCGGTGAGCACTGAGGGCGAGCCTGCTCCAGGGTCAGCACACGGGGAGTCAGCTCTGGTCTGGCTTCAGGGAACACACTCTAACATGGAGTGTCTGTTACAGACCCTGCAGGGAACATGCTCTAACATGGAGTGTCTTGCAGACCCTGCAGGGAACATGCTCTAACATGGAGTGTCTGTTACAGACCCTGCAGGGAACACACTCTAACATGGAGTGTCTGTTACAGACCCTGCAGGGAACATGCTCTAACATGGAGTGTCTGTTACAGACCCTGCCTCCGTTTGAAGCCAATGGGAAAATCTTGGATTACACAGTGACTCTCACGAGATGGCAATCACATTCACGAAACTACACCGTC